CAGATACTGCAGGGACTCTGCCTGAATGCACACAAACACCGACAAGGTGCTTACATGGGCTCACACACAGGATCCAGAGGCAAGCACACAACCCGAAGGGTGATCCTAGGGCCCTTGGGCACATACACATCTAGAGTTCATTCACACACAAGCGTTGCAGATGCATGCACATACCTAGCGTGCACTCCCAGGGTGCCCGTGGACACACGCACCTAAGAGTTCACACAGGCACACACCTAGGGGGCGCTCCCAGGGCCCAAGTGCACACACGCACCTCAAAGGTGTCCACAAAGGCACACGCCCCCAGGACGCCGACGCACGCCTAGGGGGCGCTCGCAGGGCCCGCGCGCACCCGCACGCACACACACCCCTGCCCAGCCTCCTGCCCGCCTCCGCCTTCAGAGGCTGACGAGCCCCGGCGCCGTTCCAGGCCTGTGCCGGGCGTATCGGCAGCCGCTTGGCGGCAATCCAGGGCGGCGCGGGACCTGGGCGGGAGCCGGGAGGCGCGGCTGGCATGGAGGCGCTGCTGCTGGGCGCGGGGTTGCTGCTGGGCGCTTACGTGCTTGTCTACTACAACCTGGTGAAGGCCCCGCCGTGCGGCGGCATAGGCAACTTGCGGGGCCGCACAGCAGTGGTCACGGGTGAGTGCGGAGGCGGGTGAGTGTGAGCCAGTGGGCGCGCGGAGGGTACGCCGGGCCGGCGGGAGCAGCGGCCCGCCAGGCTCAGCTCAGCTCAGCTCGGCTGTCGCCCGCGGTCCGCAGGCGCCAACAGCGGCATCGGGAAGATGACGGCGCTGGAGCTGGCGCGCCGGGGAGCGCGCGTGGTGCTGGCCTGCCGCAGCCGGGAGCGCGGGGAGGCTGCTGCCTTCGACCTCCGCCAGGTGAGGGGCGGCGGGGGCGCGTGGGTCTGTGAGCCGAGAACCCGCCAGGACACAGAGAAGCTAGCAAAGCGGCTGCGGAGGATCCGGGTCCAGGGAGGAGAATGCGGCGCGGGCGACTCAGCGCGAAGAGGGGGTGCACGGAGCGCTGAGGTCACCCAAGGAAGGCGCACCAGAGCCGAGTGGGGGAAGGGCTTCCTGAAGGCCGTAATTGCAGTTCTGAGACGTTTAAGGTTCAGTAGGATTTGAGTTAATGAAGATCATCAGTAGGGAAGGGAACAGCAGAGGGCACAGCATAAGCAAAGGCCCTGAGGCAAGAGAGCTTGACTGATCTGAGAATCTGAGAAAAAGATTAAATGTAGCTAGAGCACAAAGTATGGGGAAGATGGGCAAATGACAGGGCTGGAGCCATTCTAGAGCCTATTGAGAAGCTTGAATTTTATTGATGGGGCAGCAGAGACCAGCGGAGACCATGAACAGCCCTCAGTAGGCTCTGGACTGGCAGAATAGCCTTTGAAACGAACCCCTTTGTGGCTGCGTGGATCCTGGAGTGGAGGGGGAAGAGCAGGCGAGAGGAGACCGGTGAGAAGTCTCTTACAGATTTTAGGGTAAATGGTAATGGGGAAAGTGGGTGATAATAATAATAGCAAGTACCTACCCAGTGCTGCTGGAGTGTATTTTACACATGTTAACTCCTTTCATCCTCACAACAGCTTGGTGAGATTGGTACTGTTATTATTATTCCCTTTATGCAATGAGAGAACTAAGGCCCGGAGATACTAAGTATCTTGCCCAAGGTTGCATTCTAGTAAAAGACTAAGTCAGGATTTGAATCCACACATTTATCTAGTACACGTAAGACACAGGGGCAGATTTTTGTAAACAGTAGGAGATGGACTCTTAGAATTTGGTACCTGGGGAGAGGGAAGAGGAGAGAGGTGCCTGGTGACAAGCCCAGCCCTTGCCGCTCCACAGGAGAGTGGGAACAATGAGGTCATCTTCATGGCCTTGGACTTGGCCAGTCTGGCCTCCGTGCGGGCCTTTGCCACTGCCTTCCTGAGCTCTGAGCCACGGTTGGACATCCTCATCCACAATGCCGGTGAGGGGCAGCAGGCCCTGCAGGGGGGTGGTGGGTGGCCAGAGGGCAGTTGCCCCCTCCAGTGGGGCCCTGCTGGGGCCAGTGGACACATGGGAAAGATACGCCCTACTCCCATCTCACAGATATGGATGCCAAGGCTGCATAGCTCCTTCTGGAGCAGCCGCTAACACCTAGCCTCTGTCCCAGGGATCAGTTCCTGTGGCCGGACCCGCGAGGCATTTAACCTGCTGCTTCGGGTGAACCACATTGGTCCCTTTCTGCTGACACATCTGCTGCTGCCTCGCCTGAAGGCATGTGCTCCTAGCCGAGTGGTGGTGGTAGCCTCAGCTGCCCACCGGCGAGGACGCCTCGACTTCAAACGCCTGGACCGCCCAGTGGTGGGCTGGCGGCAGGAGCTGCGGGCATATGCTGACAGTAAGCTGGCTAATGTACTGTTTGCCCGGGAGCTTGCCACCCAGCTTGAGGGCACTGGCGTCACCTGCTATGCAGCCCACCCAGGTGAGGTCTGGTTCTTTGACTCCTGATTCCCCTCTCCCTTCTTTGCCCCATCCTGTGCCTGCCCCCGCACCATTTCCACCTCCCTCCCCACCAGCCCTCATTGAGTCGCAGAATCTCAGAGCAGGAAGGAAGCATGGTCCAAGGAGAGACCTGTTCCTTGCTGATCTTGGAATCAGGCTCTACTGGTTTAGGTTCTTCTTCTCACACCACAAGCCTAGGTGCTGAGCCCTTGGGCAGGGGTGGTAATGGCCATGAATGAGACCTGGATTCCCACCCTCAGGAGCCATCTGTACTGACTGAACTGACTATAATATGATAATGATGATGATGATAGCTAATAATTATTCATTCATCCAAGAAGCATTTACCGAGTACCTACTATGTATCAGGCATTATTTGCAGAGCTGAGGATATAGCAGTGAACAAAACAAAGACCTTGCCCTCATAGAGTTTGCATTCTAGTTTGGAGGAGAGGGAGACAGCCTATAAATAAATATATACACTATGAGGGGTGGTGATAGAGTGCTGTAAGGAAAGAGGAAACAGGGCAAAGGGCAAATGGAATGGGAATATGGAGTGGCAGTCAAGAAATACATATCCATAAAGGCGACATTTGAACAGAGGCCTAAAAGATACCGAGATGCCCAGAGAGAGAACAGCACAAATAATAAGTGCAAAGGAGCCAGACGCGGTGGCTCATGCTTGTAATCCCAAGCACTTTGGGAGCCCGAGGCTGGTGAATCACTTAAGGTCAGGAGTTCAAGACCAGCCTGGCCAACATGGTGAAACCATCTCTAATAAAAATAAAATTAGCTGGGCATAGTGGTGGGTGCCTCGAATCCCAGCTACTCAGGAGGCTGAGGCAGGAGAACTGCTTGAACCCGGGAGGTGGAGGTTGCAGTGAGCCGAGATCATGTCGATGCACTCCAGCCCAGATGGCAGAACGAGATTCTGTCTCTTAAAAAAAAAAGTAAGCCGGGCGCGGTGGCTCAAGCCTGTAATCCCAGCACTTTGGGAGGCCGAGGCGGGTGGATCACGAGGTCAAGAGATCGAGACCATCCTGGTCAACATGGTGAAAACCCGTCTCTACTAAAAATACAAAAAAATTAGCTGGGCATGGTGGCACATGCCTGTAATCCCAGCTACTCAGGAGGCTGAGGCAGGAGAATTGCCTGAACCCAGGAGGCGGAGGTTGCGGTGAGCCGAGATCGCGCCATTGCACTCCAGCCTGGGTAACAAGGGCAAAACTCTGTCTCAAAAAAAAAAAAAAAAAAAAGTAAGTTCAAAGGCCCTGAGGCAGAAGTTCCTGGTGTGCTTGAGAAAGGCTAGTGTGGCTGGAACAGAGTGACGGGAGAGAGTAGCAAGAGGTAAGGTCATAGAGAAGCACCAGGTCCTATAGGGTTTGGAGGGAGGTCCACTGTAGGCATTCTGGCTTTTACTCTGCGATACTGGAGATCCAGAGGTACGCTTTGTCTTATGGAAGAGGTTATACCAGGATAACAAGATCTGCCATATTCATATTACCGTACTGCATTTTAGATAGTCACTGCCTAAAGCTGATTAGTAATTATAATAGTGATCACAATTAACCTTTATTAACCCTTTATTACACTCCATATCCCTAATGTCCAAAACAGTGGCTGGTATACTGCAAGTACTTAATAAATGCTGCTTAAACAAGGGACAGGACTTGAGCTAGAAGAAAAGATGGAGAGAGACAGAATTTTTTCAGGCATGGGACACACCATGAACAAAATCTGGGATATGGGGTGTACAAGTAGTTTGGATGGAAGGAAGAGACTTCATGTAGGAAATGAGTGAAGTCATCTTGTAGAAGCCCTGAATGCCTGGTAAATACTACCCTGGTTCCCCCAGAACCAGATTCTCTCCCTGGTCTTCTAGCTCTGTTCCGACTCTTTTTTTTTTTTTCTTTTCAAAGAGATAAGAGTTTCACTGTTGCCCAGGCTGGTCCCAAAAACGTAGGTTCAAGCGATCCTCCTGCTCCGCCTCTTGAGTAGCTGTGACTATAGATGCATAGCACTGCACCTAGTCCAACTCCTTTCCTTCTTCCTGCCTACAGGGCCTGTGAACTCGGAGCTGTTCCTGCGCCATGTTCCAGGATGGCTGCGCCCACTTTTGCGCCCATTGGCTTGGCTGGTACTCCGGGCACCAAGAGGAGGTGCCCAGACACCCCTGTACTGTGCTCTACAAGAGGGCCTCGAGCCTCTCAGTGGGAGATATTTTGCCAACTGCCATGTGGAAGAGGTGCCTCCAGCTGCCCGAGATGACCAGGCAGCCCATCGGCTATGGGAGGCCAGCAAGAGGCTGGCAGGGCTTGGGCCTGTGGAGGATGCTGAACCCGATGAAGACCCCCAGCCTGCAGACTCAGGGGCCCCCTCTTCTCTGAGCTCCCCCAACCCTAAGGAGCCCACAGAGCCCCCTAACCCTCAGAGCTCACCAGATTTGTCTAAGATGACACGCCGAATTCAGGCTAAAGTTGAGCCTGAAACCCAGCTCTCCTAACCCTCAGGCCAGGATGCTTTCCATGGAACTTTATGGCCTTTGAAAACCTCGGATGTGTGCCAGGCCATGCCCTGGACACTGACGGGTTTGTGATCTTGACCTCCATGGTTACTTTCTGGGGTCCCAAGCTGTGTCCTGGACATCTCTTTCTGGTTAAAGGAATAATGGGTGATGATTTCTTTCTGAGAGTGACAGTAACCCCAGGTGGAGATAGGGATGCTAGACCCTGTGCTTCTTGGGAATTTGGATTTAGTATTTCCAGGCCCCACCCTCGTTCATTCTGATCAGCTCTGGAGCAGAGGCAGGGAGTTTGCAATGTGATACACTGCCAATATTGAGAATTAGTGAACCGAGCCCTTTGCAACCATCTAGCTAGGTAGATTACCCCCATGTTCTTGAGGCAGGATTAGGCGCCCAATGTAAGGGACTCGCCTAAGGTCTCACAGTGAGTAGAAGCAGGGCCTGGGATTTGATCCCAGGGCTCCGAGCCCAGGACCGACTGCAATAAGATGGGTGCTAGGAAGTGAGTCAGGGCAGGAGAGTTGGTATCGAGGTGCTTCATGGGAGTAAGGGGACTCCTTCTGGGCGGCTGCAGGCCTGGGGCTATCTGCATCTGGAGCCCCTTGGAATAAAGCGCATTGACCGCCCAGGCTGCGCTCGCTCCTGCCTCAACGCGCCGGCCCCGCCCTCCGCCGCCACACTTCCGGCGGGGCTGCGACCACAGAGGGGCGCGGGCGAGCGGGCGGCCGGCCGCTGAGGGTGGCGGGATAGGCTGGGCGCGGCCGGCGCTGCGGACCCGCTACTGCTGTCCGGGTCTGTACGGTTCCGAGGGCCCTCCGTGCCGCCGGCGCCATGGGCAATTGCCACACAGTGGGGCCCAACGAGGCGCTGGTGGTTTCAGGTGAGGGGGCGGCGAGGGAGGTGGGCGCTGTGGAGGGTGCTCGGGGTGGATGCAGGGCTGGGGAGGAGCTGGGCCTGAGTCTACCGCGCGGCGCAGGGTGCTGGCCCCCGGGAGAGACCCCCCTGTGCTCATGCTTTCCTTGCTGCGTGCCCTCGGGCACCCACCAGGGGCTCCCCCTCCCGCTGCGTGTTTTCCAGTGTTTATTTGCTTCTCCTCCCCATCCCCCTCTCTAGGCCAGGCCTCCACTCGGCTCCACCGTGAGCTTGGGGGGTCCTGAACTGAAGTCCCGGGGTTCCTTGAGGGAGGGAGCTGGTGGTTCCGGGAGCGCAGAGGTTTGGCTGGATTCCAGCGCCCGGGACTGGGGCGGTCGCGCAGCCCTGGAGGGCAGGTGCCTGTAGGGGAGGGGCCCTGAGACATAGGTCCTTTCTCTGGGCACAGTCTGACCCGTTAATTCCGAGCAGGCTGGGGCTTGTTGGGGATTACTGACATTGCCCGCCCAGGCGATGCGGGTGCGGCCTCTACAGATTGGGAAACCCGGCTCTGGGCTTACAGCTTGGGATTGCAAAATGCTGCATGCTCCAGAATTTCTGTCTAGGTGGGGTTTGGGGACTGCAGTAATGGAGAAAATGAGTTGCTATTGAGATTTTATATTGGGGTGCTTTGAGAAGCGACTGACACCTTACAAGCCACCAGATTGTGCAGCTCCTGACTCAGGAGCTAGGGGAGGGGGTCCTGGTGCCTGACAGTTTGAAGGCCTGGAGCTGGAGGAATTTCTCTTGTCGGTCTTCCCATTATCAGTGCTGAGTTTTTCAGCCTGCGTGCAGGTTTGGTAGAAGTGGCTGCAGAAGAAATAGAAGGAGGTAGAAGCCCTGAGCCAGGCTTTATAGCTGCCATCCCTTGGAAAGGTATGATAAGTCCACTGGGAATTTTCATTCCAAAACATGGCCTCTGGGTCACTTTGAATCTCAAAATCAATCTAATAAGTACCGTACCCTCCTGAAGACCAGAAATAGCCTTGGGGACAGGAAGGAAACCCCCAGAGAACACTGAAGCCAGACTTGCCCCTCTATAAGACCTAGACCTGTCTCCCAGTCCCCACCCTTAGAGAAGGCTTTTAGAGACCAGAATCTGCACTGCACTTCGTTTTTCTTGTGGAATTTCCTTCAGGAAGCCCAGATTCTGGGCTGAAAAGACAAAAGCTCCAATTCCATCTTTGTGAAAAATCTTGAGACTGAGGGCCAAAAAGTGCCCCAGAGATGGGCTGTTCTGTGCCTTCCAGTTACCAAGATCCTGCTCTGCTGAAGAGAATGAGTCAATGCAGTTAGCTTCAAAGCTATATTAGGGGTGGGAAGAGGAGGTCATGCTGAGAACTGAGGATGCTGGAGTCAGGGAAGCAGAGAAGACAGGGGGATAATGCCTGGTGTAATGGTACCTCGGGATTTGAGATGATCACCCTGAGATGCAGCTCCGTCTTGCGTGTGGACTCCCAAGAAAGCAGAGCAACTGCTTCCACCCCTGTTCTCACCTTTCTGTTTTGCTCTTTGGACCTGCATCTAGGTCCAGAGGCATCACACCCAGCCCAGTTTCAGAAGGAGGATGCTAATACATCTCAAAGTCATCTTTTCCAACCCTTTTTTTTTTTTTGAGACGGAGTTTCAACTTTTGTTACCCAGGCTGGAGTGCAATGGCGCGATCTCGGCTCACCACAACCTCCGCCTCCTAGGTTCAGGCAATTCTCCTACCTCAGCCTCCTGAGTAGCTGGGATTACAGGCACGCGCCACCATGCCCAGCTAATTTTTTGTATTTTTAGTAGAGACAGGGTTTCACCATGTTGACCAGGATGGTTTTGATCTCTCGACCTTGTGATCCACCCGCCTCGGCCTCCCAGAGTGCTGGGATTACAGGCTTGAGCCACCGCGCCCGGCCCCAACCTTTCTTTTTTTTTTTTTTTTTTTTTTTGAGACGGAGTTTCGCTCTTGTTACCCAGGCTGGAGTGCAATGGCGCGATCTCGGCTCACTGCAACCTCCGCCTCCTGGGTTCAGGCAATTCTCCTGCCTCAGCCTCCTGAGTAGCTGGGATTACAGGCATGTGCCACCATGCCCAGCTAATTTTTTGTATTTTTAGTAGAGACGGGGTTTCACCATGTTGACCAGGATGGTCTCGATCTTTTGACCTCGTGATCCACCCGTCTCGGCCTCCCAGAGTGCTGGGATTACAGGCTTGAGCCACCGCGCCCGGCCCCAACCTTTCTTAATGTCTAACTCCCTCCTTCAGTTTGTAACATAAAACTTCTTTTCTCTCTACTTTTGAAAATTTTAAAGGAGAATCTTTTTTATTTTTAAAGGGAATCCTCTTCATGGGTCGGAGGTGGGGGTAAGGTGTGAGCACAATTTTATTTTCTCTCATCCATTGAAATTTAGTGTTTTTTCTGTGATTATGAATATTGGCAACAATCATGATAGTATTAGCAGGAATTTTTCTAACACACTAGTTATTGCTGGTACCTTGAAAATCATTGGCCTGGCGTGGTGGCTCGCATCTGTAATGTCAGCACTTTGGGAGGCTGAGACGGGCAGATCACCTGAGGTCAGGAGTTCGAGACTGGCCTGACTAACATGGTAAAACCCTGTTTCTACTAAAAATACCAAAAATTAGCCAGGCATGGTGGTGTGTGCTGGTAATCCCAGCAGCTACTCAGGTAGCCATGGCAGGAGAATCACTTGAACCCGGGGGCGGAGGTTGCAATAAGCCAAGATTATTGTTCCATTGAACTCCAGCTTGGGAAACAAGAGCAAAAACTCTGTCTCAGAAAAAAAAAAAGGAGCCGGGCGCGGTGGCTCAAGCCTGTAATCCCAGCACTTTGGGAGGCCGAGGCAGGTGGATCACGAGGTCAAGAGATCAAGACCATCCTGGTCAACATGGTGAAACCCCGTCTCTACTAAAAATACAAAAAAAATTAGCTGGGCATGGTGGCGCGTGCCTGTAATCCCAGCTACTCAGGAAGCTGAGGCAGGAGAATTGCCTCAACCCAGGAGGCGGAGGTTGCGGTGAGCCAAGATCGCGCCATTGCACTCCAGCTTGGGCAACAAGAGCGAAACTCCGTCTCAAAAAAAAAAAAAGGAAATCATTTACATTCCTCTGTATTTTGAAATTAAGCCAGTAATTAGATCTACCACTAGATCTTACTATTTGATATATTAATAAAGAAGGACATATATATTACTGTATTACACATTTGTTTTGTTTTAAATTTTGAAAACTTTCAATGTAATTTATTTTATGAATTTATAAATATTCTTGGCCAGACTCATGCCTGTAATTCCAGCAATTTGAGAGGCTGAGGCAGATGGATCACTTGGAGGCCAGGAGTTTGAGACTAGCTTGGGCAACATGGCAAAACTCTGCCTCTACCAAAAAAAAAAAATTAGCCAGGACTGGTGGCACATATGTGGTCCCAGCTACTCCGGAGGCGGACGTGGGAGGATGGCTTGAGCTCAGGAGGCAGAGGTTGCATTGAGCCAAGATCATACCACTGCACTCTAGCCTGAGCAACAGAGTGATACCCTGTCTCAAAAAATAAATAGATAGGTAAACAAATATTCTTGAGGAGGGGTCCTTAGACATTGCTGGATTGCTAAAGGGGTGTGGAGCTCAAAAAAAGGCTAAAACCGTCTAGTAGGCTCAAGCAATCCTCCCACCTCAGCCTCCCAAGTAGCTGAGACTGTAATTGTGCACCACCACACTCAGTTGTTTTTTTTTTTTTCTCCCTCTTTTAAAACAAGGTCTTGCTCTGTTGCCCAGGCCAGAGTGCAGTGGTTCAACTCGACTCTTTGCAGTCTCTACCTACCAGGTTCAAGCGATTCTCATGCCGCAGCCTCCAAGTAGCTGGGATTACAGATGCATGCCACCATGCCCAGCTAATTTCTATATTTTTAGTAGAGACGGGGTTTTACCATGTTGGCCAAGCTGCTCTCAAACTCTTGACCTCAAGTCATCAGCCCACCTCAGCCTCCCAACGTGCTGGGATTACAGGTGTAAGCCATCATGCCTGGCTGCTAATTTTTAATTTTTTGTAGAGATAGGGTCTCCCTATGTTGCCTAGGCTGGTCTTAAACTCCTGGGCTCAAGCAGTCCTCCTACCTCAGCCTCCCAAAGTGCTGGAATTATGGGCATGAGCCACCATGCCTAGCCAGGATACAGACTTCTTGACTAGTAGGAAGAAGGTAGGCTGTGCACAGTGGCTCACACCTGTAATCCCAGCACTTTGGGAGACTGAGGTGGGAGAGTAACTTGAGGCCCAGAGTTTGAGACCAGCCTGTGCAACATAGCAAGACCCTGTCTCTACAAAAACAATTCTTTTTAATTAGACAGGCATGGTGGGTGGTGTATGGAAGGCTGAGGCTGGAGAATCACTTGAGCCCATGAATTCAAGGCTGCAGTGAGCTATGATCACACCACTGCACTCAGCCTAGGTGACAGAGCACAACACTGTCTCAAAAACAAAAAAAGGTGGAAGAGAGCCAGGAAGGGCAGGGGGTGCTCCTGAGAGGACCGAGTGGTGGGCTGTGTCTTAGGGAGGAGCTAAGGGGGTGGAACAGAAGTTATCGTAAGGTATTTTGTGGTTCTTCAGCTTAATTATGGAAAAGGAAAGCAAGTTTGGTTAGAAAGAATGAGGTACAATTAGGAGAAACTTCCAGGTCTTGAGATGAGTAAGAGCTTGGGAAGTCAAGGAAGAGGCACCTAACTGGCCTCTTGGGAGGGCTGCTCAGGCTGAGTGACAGAAAGCTGACAGGAAGTTGCCTTTCAGGGGAGGATGCTGGTCGGGGCAGGGCAATTTGGCAGTTTCAGCTTCCTGTTGTTGCTACCCCTGGGAACCTGGCCATGTTGCTCTTGGCCAAGGCCCAGCTTGAGCTGTGGCAGCCGACTCCCCAAGTCAAAGAATAAGTTAAAGGTAAAGGATGGCCCGGGCACGGTGGCTCATGCCTGTAATCCCAGCACTTTGGGAGGCCGAGGAAGGCAGATCACCTGAGGTTAGGAGTTCAAGACCAGCCTGGCCAACATGGCAGAACCCTCTGTCTACTAAAAAAAAATTAGCCAGATATGGTGGTGGGTGCCTATAATCCCAGCTACTCAGGAGGCTGAGGCAGGAGAATCACTTGAACCCTGGAGGTGGAGGTTGCAGTGAGCTGAGATTGTGCCACCACACTACAGCCTGGGCAACAGAGCAAAACTCTGTCTGAAAAAAAAAAAAAAAAAGGCCAGGTGCAGTGGCTCATGCCTGTAATCCCAGCACTTTGGGAGGTGACGGCAGGTGGATCATGAAGTCAAGAGATCGAGACCATCCTGGCCAACATGGCGAAATCCTGTCTCTACTAAAAATACAAAAATTAGCTGGGCATGGTGGCACATACCTGTAGTCCCAGCTACTCAGGAGGCTGAGGCAGGAGAATCACTTGAATCCCAGAGGTGGAGGTTGCAGTGAGCTGAGATTGCACTACTGCACTCTAGCCTGGGTAACAGAGCAAGACTCCATCTCAAAAAAAAAAAAAAAAAAAAAAAAAAGTAAGATAAGGGATGACCATCTGTACTGTCCATCTCCCCACCTCCTCATCCTACCCCCTACCACTACCACCTTCCCACTGCATATTTTGAGAAGTCCCCTGGAGCTAGCCCAAGGTAGCCATGCCCCAGCCCCCACCAAGCCAGAAGATCTAGAATAAGCTGTGATTTTTGGCACCCTTCCAGTTTCACTTGATCCTGAGATGGTTTGGGTTTCAGATTGAGTGCTTGTCCTCGGATGCCACCCCATTCCACCTCCCAGGTCAGAAAAGCCCGGAATGGCTTACCTTGAGCAGCAGCCCTGTAAGCGGATAGTTCTACCCTAGCGAAACAGATATCCAAGACCCGCCTCTTAGTGTTCCCTGCCCACACCATGGGGCTGCTCTTTGATCCCTGGACCTCTGGCTTTGCTTCTGAAACTTCATGCATGGCAGCAGACCCAGAAAACTGAGTTACCTGCCTGGTAAGCAGTATTAGATGGCAGCTCTCCAACCTTTCAAGCCCTCCTCGCTGGGGGCGGGGTGGAGCAGGTCTTTGTTCCTTTGCCTCCACCCACCCAAAATTTGTCCCCAGTTTCCCTTTCTCACCATAGTGTCTGTTTCTATCATTGTCCTCACCACCCACTCAAATCCAGACTGTAGAGCTGCACTACCCAATGTGGACACTAGCCACAGGTGGCCATTTAAATTAATTAAATAAAAAATTGAGGCTCGCTAAGCACAGTGGCTCATGACTGTGATCCCAGCACTTTGGGAGGCTGAGGTGGGTGGATCACCTGAGGTCAGGAGTTCAAGACCAGCCTAACCAACATGGTGAAACCTCTTCTTAAAAAAAAAAAAAGAAAATTCAGTCTGGGCACGGTGGCTCACACCTATAACCCCAGCACTTTGGGAGGCCGAAGTGGGAGCCTCATGGGGTCAGGAGATGGAGACCATCCTAGCTAACATGGTCAAATCCTGTTTTTTTTTTTTTTTTTTTTTTTTTTTTTTTTGAGACGGAGTTTCGCTCTTGTTACCCAGGCTGGAGTGCAATGGCGTGATCTCTGCTCACTGCAACCTCCGCCTCCTGGGCTCAGGCAATTCTCCTGCCTCAGCCTCCTAAGTAGCTGGGATTACAGGCACGCGCCACCATGCCCAGCTAGTTTTTTGTATTTTTAGTAGAGATGGGGTTTCACCATGTTGACCAGGATGGTCTCGATCTCTTGACCTCGTGATCCACCCTCCTCGGCCTCCCAAAGTGCTGGGATTACAGGCTTGAGCCACCGCGCCCGGCCACCCTGTTTCTACTAAAAGTACAAAAAATTAGCTGGGGGTAGTAGCACATACCTGTAGTCTTAGTTACTTGGGAGGCTGAGGCAGGAGAATCACTTGAACCCTGGAGGCAGAGGTTGGCAGTGAGCCGAGATTGTGCCACTGCATTCCAGCCTGGACAACAAAGCGAGAATTCGTCTCAAAAAAAGAAAAAAAAAATTCAGTTCCCCAGTCATACCAGTCTCATTTGAAGTGCACAGCAGTTGCATGTTGCTAGAGGCCAATGTACTGCACAGTGTAAACACAGAAGAAGATATAGAACATTCCTACCCTCACAGAAAGTTGTCTTGAATAAGACTGCTCTAGAAGTTGTCTGCCCATATCAGCCACCATGCCTTGCCTGGGTTACTGCAAGAGGCTTCTACCCAGTCTCCCTGATCCCGGTGTCTTCCTCCTCGTGCAAAGTGGTGTGTTTCTCAAGGGTAACCTGGCTTCCTTTCACACACAGCTCCTTGGCCTGACATACAAGACACTGTGATCTGCCCTCTGCCCCTCCACTTCCTTTGTTCCCTGATGTGAGTCCTCAGAGACACTAACCCAACTGTATGAAACTCCCCCAGACCCTTGACCTGGGGAGTTAAACAACCTTTTGAGGTGGCTTGAGGCTTTCATGAAAACCTAACTTTGTGTAGATGGAAATGATAATGCTTGACTGGACTCAGTGGCTCACACCTGTAATCCCAGCACTTTGGGAGGCCAAGGCATGTGAATTGCTTGAACCCAGGAATTCGAGACCAGCCTGGGCAATATGGTGAAACCCTGTCTCCACAAAAAATCAGCCAGACCTGGTGGCATACACCTGTGGTTCCGGCTACTCAAGAAGCTAAGGTCAAAGGATCGATTGAGCCCAAGAGATCAAGGCTACAGTGAGCCGTGATCTCACCACTGTACTCCAGCCTGGGCGACAGAATGAGACCCTGTCTCAAAAAAAGAGAAGAAAACACTCTGGTTTTTCCCAGATCATATATTTTCTTTGAATTCTGTTTCCTGTACATTTTTGTGCCCTGCAAGTTAACTGCCTGTCCAGTTTTATGAAATTTTCCTTGAACTTGATAAGGAATTTTGGCATTAACAAGAGAGTTTACTACAAGATTCTCAATAATTGATTTTTCTCATTTCTGTATAGGGAACTTGTCTACAGCATGGATCTGGGTTGTGGCTGAATTAGATATTCTGTGTAGTTGACACACTGTTTCCCAAGAACCACTTCCTTTTTAGGCCTTTTTGCTTTCTCTTCACTTATCCCACTGTTACCACAAGTTAGCTTTTGTTTTGAGGCCTTGCCTTCACCAGCTCCCATGAGAGGAACAAAATCATTCTGAATATTCTGGAACTAGAGAACCAGCCTCACTGAGATGTATCTGCTAGGCAGAAGAGCAAGCCCCGCCACCTTGACTGGAAGACTATTCCTTCCCTCCCACAAGCCCCACAGTGTGGTTCCCCTCTGTGTTCCCTCTCTGTCTATACCCACTGTGATAACAGGTGAACTGCAGGGCATACTTTTTTTTTTTTTTTTAAGACAGGGTTTCACCATGTTGGCCACCACACCCAGCCAGGGCATACTTTTTTATTGAATGAATTAATTAAAAATGGAAGCTAGACCAGGCACAGTGGCTCATGCCTATAATCCCAGCACTTTGGGAGGCCGAGGTGGGCAGATCACCTGAGGTCAGAAGTTCAAGAGCAGCCTGACCAACATGGAGGAACCCCATCTGTACTAAAAATACAAAATAAGCAGGATGTGGTGGCGCATGCCTGTAATCCCAGCTACTAGGGAGGCTGAGGCAGGAGAGTTGCTTGAACCCAGAAGGCAGAGGTTGCAGTGAGCTGAGATTGTGCCATCGCACTCCAGCCTAGGCAACCAGAGCAACACTCCATCTCAAAAAATAAATTAGCCGGGCGCGGTGGCTCAAGCCTGTAATCCCAGCACTTTGGGAGGCTGAGGCGGGTGGATCACGAGGTCAGGAGATCGAGACCATCCTGGTCAACATGGTGAAACCTCGTCTCTACTAAAAATACAAAAAATTAGCTGGGCATGGTGGCGCGTGCCTGTAATCCCAGCTACTCAGGAGGCTGAGGCAGGAGAATTGCCTGAACCCAGGAGGCGGAGGTTGTGGTGAGCCGAGATCACGCCATTGCACTCCAGCCTGGGTAACAAGAGCGAAACTCCGTCTCAAAAATAATTAATTAATTAATTAATTAATAAAAATGGAAGCTGGGCCAGGTTCAGTGGCTCATACCTGTAATCCCAGCAGTTTGGGAGGCTGAGGTGGGCCAATCACGAGGTCAGGAGTTCGAGACCTTGTCTCTAATAAGAATACAAAAATTAGCCTGGCATGGTGGTACGTGCCTGTAATCCCAGCTACTCAGGAGACTGAGGCAGGAGAATTGCTTGAACCCAGGAGGCTGAGGTTGCAGTAAGCCAAGATCGCACCACTGTACTTCAACCTGGGTGACAGAGCAGGACTCCATCTTGAGAAAAACAACTTTAGCTGGACATGGTGGCATGAGCCTGTACTCCCAGCTACTCAGGAGGCTGAGGAAGGAGAATCGCTTGAACCCAGGAGATGAAAGTTGCAGTGAGTCAAGATCGCGTCGCTGTACTTCAGCCTGTCTACAGCGAGACTCCCTCTCAAAATAAAAAATCTAAAAAATGGGACGTAAGGGCAGGGAGAACTTCTCTCTCATTGGTGTGTAACCTTGGCACCAGGCACCCAACAGTACGCGTTGTCAAGTATCAGAGCAGGTAAAGGACAAAAGGTGCTATCAGTGGGCTGGGGAGTAGACAGACCCAAGAACCAACTGACTGGCGGTGGTTTCCTTTGCTCCCCAGGGGGCTGTTGTGGTTCCGACTATAAACAGTACGTGTTTGGCGGCTGGGCCTGGGCCTGGTGGTGTATTTCCGACACTCAGAGGTAAGCACCTGGGGGCTCTAGAACTTGTCATAGAGTGGGCCAGGGAAAGAGGGACTTTTAGCATTCTTCTGCTTTACCCCAAGGGTCAGCTAGAATATCTACCATTTCCACATTCCATTCTGGTGGGTGGGGCTTTCTAAGAAGCAGGTGAGATGGATTGGGCAGGGATGCAGGAGACATGTATCAGGAAAGTCTGTCATGGGTGCTCCCTTCTTACTGGGTGTTCTTTCTTCCACCGGAGGCGGCATTACTTCTGTCACAGAGAACTCAGGATGATGCCCAGGCAGAATCTTGATTTCCTAATCGTAGCTCAAAGTTATTTAAGAAATCTTTATTATTTGCCCAGCTTGGCGTGGGCATATGAAGAGAGGAAAACCAGGAGAGACCCCATGCACACCCTTACCTATGTAGGCCCTGGAGTAATCCAGGCAGGGACTACGTGGCAGAGAATGGATATATAGTCAGAAGTGGTTCTGTGACAGTGATGAATTAGAGACAGGGATGGGGACCTAACGACTTCGTGCTGGGGTGGGGGGCAAGACAGGTCTAGACCTCCTAAATCAGTCTGGAAAGACTTACTAGAGGAAGTGAGTTTTCAGCTCCCCAGAGGGCCCACCATTCAGCTCTACCTGCTGCTGCCTGCAGAGCCCAGGGCAGGGCCAGACCTGGCCTCTCCTGTCACCTCATCTCCCACCCAGCAGATGAGCCATGCCAGCTACCTTTCCAGGATCACCCACTTTCTGATTATGGGAGGTAGAGAGGAGGAGCAGACCCATCGAAACCAGGACCCAGGCAACAAGGGCAGCAGAGCTGTGGGCATGTTGCAAGGGGGTCAGTCACCCCACAGGGGAAATCATGGAGATTCCAGCGGAAACCCCCTCTGCCTAGCCCCCACCCATCAGCAGCTCATGTCTGCACTGAGCTGCTAGTGCTTGAGGCTCCTGGGAGCCTGAGGACATCTGCTAGGGTTAGGGGAATGGGAAGCATGGCACAACAGATTAACTTCACTGGTTCACAGTAACTGCTGTACTCTTCCACCTCTCCCCCGACTTTACCCGACCGGAGGTGAGTAATATCCAAGGCTCAGATTGTCACAGTAATCAATAGTGGCCATAGCCTCCACTTGAGAGGATCTGAGTAGGCCAGTGGCCTGTCAGAAGCCATGGGGAGCCCTCTCCAGACACACCACCACCCCACACACTGTGCAGTACCAGCACAACAGAGTGTCTTGTCCAGATGCCTCGACCTGCAGCCAGGCCCACCTGTCCTGTGTGGGCAGCCACTGCTAGGGCAAGTCCCCTGCAGCCCTTTCTCCATCTTCTTGGTCCTCTGCTCTCCCTTCTTGCTCCAGGGAGCAGAGCCAGGACAGAAGGGCTGAGCCTTTCTGACAGCAGGTTTGGAAGTTAGAGGTAAGGGACCTTATATCTCTTCCCAGGACACCGACCTCACACCCAGGATCCACATCCTCCCTGTGGTCCCACTGACTGGGTAGTCTGAGCCAGTAGTCCTTCCCCTCTTATCCCCTTTTCTGGGGGTCAGCTCCTTCCCCATTCCCTAGCCTGTTTGGGGGATATCTCCACAGGCTGGGGCCTTTATGTCCCTAGGCTTTCAGGAGCCTCTCAGGTCAGAGTAGAGGCTTCTAATAGCCTAGATACTCAGCCTCCTTCTCGAGGTCCTTTCTGCAGCTGTCACGTGCCTTGGGGTCAGCCATTCTTCTTACAGGCTCAGTGACCTGTCCTGCTGCACTTTGCTGCTACATCCTATACTATCCCAAGGCCCTGATGTGGGCAGCTCTCTCTTCCTTACCTGAGCAATTCTCTACCCTTGGCATCTGAACTGCAGCCTCCCTTCTTCCCTCCCTGCTACCCTTCGTCCCTCCCTCTCCCTATTTCCCTTTCTCCTTCCCCAGAAGAGAGCTTGGTAGGTTCCTGTCTGAGCCAGGTCAAGAGTCCTCTCAGGCCCAAGAATGCTAGTGTTAGAGGCTCGAATAAAGGCAACCTTTGCATGTCTGCATGGCCAGAGCCCCAGGGCTGGCACTGGGGATAGCCCTCCCAGGATTGAGATGGGGGCTGCGCATCGCCTGCTGCTCCTCCTCATCCCCTCCACCTGCTTCTGCCCCTTCACCCTTGGCCTCTGTCCTCTCTTCCTTCCTCTGATTTAGGGAAACTTTCCACACTGTCTACAGCCTGGCCTCTGCCTAGACAGCCACCCTCCACACACTGCCTAGGGAGGCCCAGCCAGAATGAGCCGGGGAGCTTTGAGGCACCTTGATTTCTTTGCCAATAATCTCTCTGCCCCTGGCCAACTTTGGAAGTTCCCAATTAAATGTCTCCCCTATCTCCTGTTGTCCCTGAGTTTTCCGGCAGGAGCACACTTTCTCCCCCAGCCTTCCTTGACCCCCACATCAGAACATCCAATTTTTCGTTGGGCTTTTCTGGCCTCGCCTTGCCTTCTTAGTGATAGATAGTGCGTACCTGGTGGATTCAGCGTTTGCTAAAGCTCAGGAGTCCCCAGAATAGCCTCCCACTCCCAATTTCTGGAAACACAGGTTTACCTGTGTGAAGACAGTGGGGACTAAGGGTCAGTCCCCCAGGTTGTGACAGGATCCCTGGGAAAGCGAGGTGGCCGGCAACCTGGGTGCCCTGTGCTTAAGCCTCCCAACCTCATGCTGCAGGCATCTTCCCCAGCCCAGCAGCTCCTCACTGGAAGGGTTTGGGGACTAGAGAAGAGACCCAGAGGCCTCAGGCCAGCATGGGGGTCTCTGCTTTCCTGCAGCCCTCGGCTGAGCTGCAGTTGGGGGTTGGATTACTGACAGCATGTCTGCCCCCCAGGCGTCAGGCATCAGTGCTTGTCTGGTAACTACTGTGTGTGTTTGCTGTGTCCCCTCCTCCCCTTCCTGTCCCTACCTCTTCCCAACCCCTGGCTGCTCCTCAGACTGTCTCTGGAGGTTATGACCATCCTGTGTCGCTGTGAGAATATTGAGACGTCGGAGGGGGTTCCACTATTCGTAACAGGGGTTGCACAGGTAATAACCCACCTGCTTCCTCCTCCATGCCTAACCTTCTCTCTTCCTGCCCTGCGGGGCCTGGCAGACAGGAGCCGATGAAGTCCCCTCCTAAGAATTCTGCCTTTCTCCCTCTCCTCTTTTCTCTCCTCCGCTGCCCTGGGTGCCAGGATGGATCCCAGTAGATCCCCGGGTCCCTTGCCCTTGCCCATTGGACTGCAAGCAGGGAAAGAGTGAGGGATTCTGGAAGCTCTGCCAAGTCTGCCAGTGAGTGTCCCAGGGTGCCAAGCGTTCATTACCATGCAGCCGTAGCTGGTGAAATCTATTCTTGGACTTGGGTGTTAAGTAGCTCCAAATGTTTACTCTGTCATATGTGGGTTCCCCTCTTTATTGCTTCATTCACCAGCTCTCTACTGAGCACCTTCTCAGTTCAAGGCACATGGACTGCAGGAGTGAACGTCAAAAACTCCTGCCCCCTCAGAGCCCATGTGCCAGCTGGTTCCCAGGCTGGAAGAGGGCTGAACAGCATCTTCCTCATCCCCTCCCTCTGCATTAAATTACCCATCAACCTGCTTAGGCAAAAATATCATATCACCACTCCCTTCTTCACCCATCCTGCCGTTTCCAATGGGGAAGGGGACCATCCCCATCTCATTAGCCCTTGTAGCCATGGGAGATACAGAGGCCTGAGAGGCTCAGAGCACCTTGTGTGGAAGGGATAGGGTCCAGGCCTCCCTCAACACCCCATTTGATGCAGTCCTGTCCCCCTCCAAACCCACTCTTATACTTGAAACATCTGCAAATGCCCAGATTCCTTTTAAGCTGGGTGACTGTGGACTCTTGAGGAATCAGATTACCTGGCCAGAACAACTCTTTCCAGGGTTAACACTCCTTGGCCAAGAGGCTCTAGTGGGACCTCAGTCTACATTCCCCACGTGACCCACCTGGGCCTAATACCAGAGGTGGGTTTCAAGTCAAAGACTACAGCCAGGTGGAGGGACCAGGCAGGTCTTCCCTGGCAAGGGGCAGGTCAGGATTACTTCCATCTTGGCCCAGCAGTGGGCATACTCCCAGGATGCCAGGCAATCAGGCAGAGCTTTCCAGGCAGCTTCCTGGGGCACCCTGGCGTGCTGAGTAGACCAAGGAATGGGTCAGGGCTTCTGTGGGAGGCTCAGATGGCATCCACGCTGGCCTGCAGGGCCGGGAGGACCAGCACTGACTTACTATCCTAGAACATACACACAACTACACCTGGATTCTCCCCTGCCAACAGCCCGGACCACCCATGGCCACTTCTTTCCACTTAGTTTTTCTCACTATTCCATCCAGGCTGACTTGAGCAGAGGGTGTGTGCACATACACAGCCCACTTCTGCTCCTTCTCCTGGGGCTACCTGCACCTACGCTCCCCCCCAGCCCACTTCCTTCTCAGACACTCGCATCTACAGCCCCTTGGAGAGTCCTCCCTCCACCCTTTTCACCAGGACCCAGCTGGAGCCGTGAGGTACTAGACTCTTTCCCAACACTGCCAGGCCCTGGGCCCCCAGACCCATGCCCCTGTTTTGCATTTCTTGGCAGGATTTCCCTAGAGATTATGACGTTGCAGCCCCGCTGCGAGGACGTAGAGACGGCCGAGGGGGTAGCTTTAACTGTGACGGGTGTCGCCCAGGTATAGTAACTCAGCAGCCCCGCGCATGTCCATTGAGCTGCCTGGTCCCGTACTCGGGTTCGGGGGGAGGAGGAGAGGACGGCAGCCAGGGGCAGTCTCTCTCCAGCGTCCCAGCCCCGGCAAGTCCCACAAGAGAGGGTGAGTCAGGTCATCGCCACTGGAACTTGCTCACCCGGCCCTTTTGGCCACCCAGCAGGACTAACAGACACCCCTTCTTTCCTCAGCGGGCCCGCGAAGGACAGAACCAGTGCTGAGGGCTCCTGGCTCACTAACCCCACCCTCATTCTTTGCAGGTGTTGGAAATGCCAAGCCCCAGAATCCAGGCCTTCCTTGTTCCCTGGGTACAGGGTGGGCGGGGTGGGGCCCAGAGAGAGAGGCCATGTGAGGCAGAGGAGCTCTGGACTCTGGGAGTTGGAGGCTGTGTCATATTCCCAGCTGGGGGACTAGGTGGGGGCTTCCTACCCTGATCCACCTCTCAGCTTCACAGGGCAGCGAGGTTCAGCCATGCTGTAGGCCTTGGCGAGGGGTTGGCTGAGTACCTCAAAAAGCAGAGGCACCCTTGGTCGCATCCCCCAACCCTCTCCTGCCCTGTCTAGGCTCTTTCCTTCTCTGTCTGTGTCCCTATTGCTCATTCTCCTCGTCATACTCGCTGCCCCTCAGCGCAAGGGTCTCCCATGTGTTGGAAGCCTGCAAAGGAGGAATTGGCTGGTGAGGGAACAGAGCTGGAGGGGTGGGGAGACAAGCCCCAAATGCCCAGGAGAGGCTGTGGCGGGGCCTGGGGCTGCCAGTGCAGTGAAGTATTAGGAAGCTCTTGTGCTGCTGTCTCCCTACTAGAGGCCTCAGACAGATTCCAGCCCCCAGGGCCTCCAGGTCTGAAAAAAGGAGGGAAAGGGGTACAGCCACCACCCTGCCTACCTCTGGGTCTGGGGCCTCCGTCTGCCTCACTCCAGCCTGACTGAAGCGCCTCTGTCATCACTGGCAGGTGAAGATCATGACGGAGAAGGAACTCCTGGCTGTGGCTTGTGAGCAGTTTCTGGGTAAGAACGTGCAGGACATCAAAAACGTCGTCCTGCAGACCCTGGAGGGACATCTGCGCTCCATCCTCGGTGAGACCCTATCCAGCCTTTGAGGAGCTTCATGGGGTTCCTAAGCCAGGGCAGGGAGGGGTGCAGGGCTGGGCAGGGGGCCTCTTTCACTGGGGTTTCAAGGTAAAACATTTTTCCTCAAGTATTTCATTTTAAAACTTCAGGTGACTTGAGTGGAGAGGCCATTGGGGTGGGATGGGCCTAGGGGACTGTCAGTCTGCTTAGGAACCTGGTGCTGCTTGGGATGCTTCTCGTCCAGCCTGGACTCTGCAGCAGGAGGCTCAATGTTAAATGCTGTTGAGAAGATACTCCAGGAAGTCCCAGCTCAGACCGCAGCACCCCTGCATGCACCCAACCTCTCCATGCATGCCTCCTCCCTTCCCCAGCGGGCTGGGTCCCTGGGGAACCAGCCCCTGATCCCTCTGCCCCCAGGGACTCTGACAGTGGAGCAGATTTATCAGGACCGGGACCAGTTTGCCAAGCTGGTGCGTGAGGTGGCAGCCCCTGACGTTGGCCGCATGGGCATTGAGATCCTCAGCTTCACCATCAAGGTACGGTGTGATGGGAAGCTGTATCTCCTGGTGTCCATCTGGGAGAAGGTGGCTTGGCTAGAGGAGCACCTTTGTGCCTCTGGCTGCTCTTTGAGCTTATGAAAGCCTTTTTCCTCCCCAGGACGTGTATGATAAAGTGGACTATCTGAGCTCCCTGGGCAAGACACAGACTGCTGTGGTACAGAGAGATGCTGACATCGGCGTGGCCGAGGCTGAACGGGACGCAGGCATCCGGGTCCGTGGGTTCAAGGATGGGAAGCTCAGGGATGATAGGACCATGCTCACTTAGGGGAACTCTACTCACTTGCACCTTCTGCCCCTAGGAAGCTGAGTGCAAGAAGGAGATGCTGGATGTAAAGTTCATGGCAGACACCAAGATTGCTGACTCTAAGCGAGCCTTTGAGCTGCAAAAGTCGGCCTTCAGTGAGGAGGTTAACATCAAGGTGAGCAGCCTGAGGGCATCCTGGGTTGGGGCTCAGGGATCAGGACTTGGTGACCAGCTTCTAATGTACCAGTCACCCTCTTGCCACAGACAGCCGAGGCCCAGTTGGCCTACGAGCTGCAGGGGGCCCGTGAGCAGCAGAAGATCCGGCAGGAAGAGATTGAGATTGAGGTTGTGCAGCGCAAGAAGCAGATTGACGTGGAGGCGCAGGAGATCCTGCGCACGGACAAGGAGCTCATCGCTACGGTGCGCCGGCCCGCCGAGGCCGAGGCCCACCGGATTCAGCAGATTGCCGAGGGTGAAAAGTGAGAGCCGCCCAGGTGCCGGGATTGGGGCTTAGTCAGGCTCCTCTGCCCTTTACTCTCCTGACCACAGCTTGGAAGCCACTTCTCCCACCTCTACCATGTCTGCTTACTCACTGTGAAGTGAGAATAACCCCGCATTCCCTGTGGGGGTCCTAGATAAAGGAGGCTCCAGTGCCTAGTGTAGTGCATGGGAATAGAAAGCATCCTGGTTTTTCCCCTCCCACGTACAGCTGGGAACTGGTGGCCTCTCCCTGGCCAGAGCCAGAAGGCCAGGCCACCCCCGCCCTTCAAATGTCTCCCACCCCTGACAGCCCCAGAACAGAGGGTTTGGAGGTTTGCTGGCCCCCAGGCAAGGTTTGAGAGGACCCTGGTACGTCCACTGATCCTGTCCGGCCGGATCTCCCCCAGGGTGAAGCAGGTCCTCTTGGCACAGGCAGAGGCTGAGAAGATCCGCAAAATCGGGGAGGCGGAGGCAGCAGTCATCGAGGCGATGGGCAAGGCGGAGGCCGAGCGGATGAAGCTCAAGGCAGAAGCCTACCAGAAATACGGGGATGCAGCCAAGATGGCCTTGGTGCTGGAGGCCCTGCCCCAGGTGAGGCTTCCACCCAGGTGGGCCCCAGGGTTGAAGTTTCCTTGCTTGACTAGCTGGGCAAGTGCCAGAACTTCCCTAGGCTTTGCGAGTGACACAGGGACAGGTGGCTAGAAGGGTTAAAAGAGAAGTGTCCTAAGCAGGGGGCAGGAACCCAACAGGCCTAAGCCATCCCTGGCCCACACAGCCTCTCTTACCATGCTAGACTAAGGGCCGCCCAGGCTGCTTTGGGGTTAGAGTGAGTTGAGGAAGGGAGGGAGAGATGCTGGACTGGGCTGGGGACGGAGTCAGTGCCAACCAGTCTCTCCTCCGACTCTTACCTCCTAGATTGCTGCCAAAATCGCCGCTCCACTTACCAAAGTTGATGAGATTGTGGTCCTCAGTGGGGACAACAGCAAGGTCACATCAGAAGTGAACCGACTGCTGGCCGAGCTGCCTGCCTCTGTGCATGCCCTCACGGGCGTGGACCTATCTAAGGTGTGTGCCTGCCTGGCTGCAGCAGTGGGGTTGCCTGGGCAGCCCATCGGACAGGCCCAGGCAGAGTGGTCCTGGGCTCTGGAGCCTCATGGCATCTCCCATCCTTGCAGATACCCCTGATCAAGAAGGCCACCGGTGTCCAAGTATGAGGCTCCTGCAGGCACAGTCTCTTCGGCAGCCACCCGGCCCTCCCTCCAGCACCCGTTTTAATCCCACAGGAACAACGGGAATGTTACTGACTCTGGTGCCTTATCTTGAAGGGACCAGAAGTGCTGTGCGTTCAGGCCATCTCTGGCTGTCTTCCCATCTCTCCTGTCTCTGTCCACCTCCTCTTCCTCTCCTTTACCCCACGTTCACTGCCACTTTCATCAGGTTTGTCTCTCATCTCCCTGTGTGTCTTCCTTTGTCTTTTTCTCTCCCCCCATGCACAACATGTAGTATAAGCTGAAGATGTTTATTACAATCACTCTCTGTCTGTGGGGGGCGGCCCTGCTGCTCCTCAGAATCCTGGTGCCTTGAAGTTCTCTGTGTATCTGTCCGTCCTCCCTATGGCCCTGGCCAGAACTCAGCATGGGCAGGGGTTCTGGGTAGGACGGTAACTGTCGCCTCTCCTGGACTGGTCTTCCCAGCCCTAAACCCTGCCCCAGGAAGCCCACAACCTCATCTGCCCCAGGCCCCGGCTGGCACTCATACTCTGTATTCTCTCCCCATCCCAGGGGCACAGAGGCAAGGCCTCCTGCCTGCAGCAGCTTCCTCAGTTTCCTACTGCCTTAGGAGGCCCCTGCTTGTGCTCAGGGAAGGACTCTTCGTGGGCATGTTCCTGCTGGGGCAGTGGGGCTTGGTCCCAACTCTGCTAAGTTTTCTGAGATCAGGGTCTAGCCCTGTTGGGGATAGAAAAGTATGTAGACCTTTCTGCTAGGGCTGCAGTATCCTGGGTTTTGGGTCCTTCCAGTGGGCAGGGCTGTGCCAACCCTGTACAGAATCGAGTGCTGTAGCCTGGCCAGACCCCAGAGCCCTTGTGCTATTTTTCTTCTGGCCAGAGTGATAGGGTTCCACTCATGAGGAAGCAGCCCAATCCTCTGCCTCCTTGCTCCAATGGAGGCAGAAGAGCCTAGGACACAAGTGTCCTGGCAGGGGCGCTGTGGTTGTCCAGTGGTCCCGGCTCCCCACCCTGGCCCTGCCCCAGCCTGTGTAGCTCTTCCTGCATGTGGATGCTGCATGTCTGGTCTGGGGCTTGGATGTTGCACTGCCCCACTGCCTGTCCCTTCTGGTAAAATAAAGATTTCTTAATGCCCACGCCAGCATTGTGTCTTCTGTGAGGAGAGAGACAGAACCAAGAACCAACCAGGTCCCTCCCCTTCTTTAGCATCAAGGCAGCTTTTAACCTGTTCTTCCCCACCCTAGCCACTGGGGGGCAACAGCACACTGGTCTTGCCCCCAGTAGAGCCTTGGGCATGACTGATTGGCCGAGATCCTGAGGCCAGTCCCCAGCCCTGGAACATCTGGCACCATCACAGGCAGAAGGTGGAGGGGGCGAGCAGGATGCAGTTGCTTACACCTGTAGTCCCAACTACTCAGGAGGCTGAGGTGAGAGAGGATTGCTTGAGCCTAGGAGTTTGAGGCCAGCCTGGGCAACATAGCAAGACCCCATCTCTTAAAAAAAAAAGGAAAAAGAAAAGTTGGAGGAAGCTGCCAGGTTCACTGCACCTCTGTACCAGTGTACTGAGCCCTACTCAGTAATGGAGCCCATCTCTCAGGCTTAAAAGTGCTTAGATTCTGAAGTAAGGCAGTTTTGGTTTAAATTTCAGCTTTGTTGTTTATTACCTGTGTTATCTTAGGCAAGTAACTTCATCTTTCTGGACCTCAATATTCTTAGTCATTTAATAAGTTTATCAAATGCTTGCCATGTACCAAGCATGTCCTAGATGCTAGAGAGACAAGTGAACAAAATGAATGAATAGACGTTCAAGCTTACATTCCGGTAGAAACAAAAATATACACTATGTTAGATAACGGTAAGTCATAAGGAAAAGAAGTCAAAGAAATAATCAGTGTGGGGGGTGCTGAAATTTTGGGGTATTTAAAGAAGGCCTCACTGAGAAGGTAGCACTAAAGAAAGTAAAGGAATGAGCCATATGGATATCTGAAGGAAGAGCTTTTCATACAAAGGCCCTGAAGTGGGAGAGCGTCTGGCATGATCGAAGAAGAGCAAGGTGGAAGGCTGAGGCAGGCAGATCACCTGAGGTCAAGAGTTCGTTCAAGCCGGGCACAGTGGCTCACACCTGTAATCCCAGCACTTTGGGAGGCTGAGGCGGGTGGATCACCTGAAGTCAGAGTTCTAGACCAGCCTGACCAATATGGTGAAACCCTGTCTTTAAAAATATATAAATTAAAAAATTTTTTAATTTTTTTTTTTTTTTTCCAGATAGAGTTTCACTCTTGTTACCCAGGCTGGAGTGCAATGGCGCGATCTCGGCTCACCGCAACCTCCGCCTCCTGGGTTCAGGCAATCCTCCTGCCTCAGCCTCCTGAGTAGCTGGGATTACAGGCACGCGCCACCATGCCCAGCTAATTTTTTGTATTTTTAGTAGAGACAGGGTTTCACCATGTTGACCAGGATGGTCTCGATCTCTTGACCTTGTGATCCACCCGCCTCGGCCTCCCAAAGTGCTGGGATTACAGGCTTGAGCCACCGCGCCCAGCCTAGCCAAGATTTCTTTTTTTTTTTTTTTTTTTTTTTTCTTTTTCTTTTTTTTTTTTTTTGAGACGGAGTTTCGCTCTTGTTACCCAGGCTGGAGTGCAATGGCGCGATCTCGGCTCACCGCAACCTCCACCTCCTGGGCTCAGGCAATTCTCCTGTCTCGGCCTCCTGAGTAGCTGGGATTACAGGCACGCGCCACCATGCCCAGCTAATTTTTTGTATTTTTAGTAGAGACGGGGTTTCACTATGTTGACCAGGATGGTCTCGATCTCTTGACCTCGTGATCCACCCGCCTCGGCCTCCCAAAGTGCTGGGATTACAGGCTTGAGCCACCGCGCCCGGCCGCCAAGATTTCTTAAGACAAAAAAAAGGACCATAGAAGAAAAATTTGATATACAGCACCATCAAAATAAGTCTTGGCTGGCCGGGCATGGTGGCTCATGCCTGTAATCCCAGAAGTTTGGGAGGCTGAGGCAGGCAGATCACCTGAGGTCAGGAGTTCGAGACCAGCCTGACCAACATGGTGAAACCCTGTCTCTACTAAAACTACAAAAGTTAGCCAGCTGTAGTGGCTGGCACCTGTAATCCCAGCTACTAGGGAGGCTGAGGTAGGGAGAATTGCTTGAACATGGGAGGCAGAGGTTGCAGTGAGCCGAGATTGTGCCACTGCACTCCAGCCTGGGCAACAAATCGAGACCCCATCTCAAAATAAATAAATAGCCGGGCGCGGTGGCTCAAGCCTGTAATCCCAGCACTTTGGGAGGCTGAGGCGGGTGGATCACAAGGTCGAGAGATCGAGACCAACCTGGTCAACATGGTGAAACCCCGTCTCTACTAAAAATACAAAAAATTAGCTGAGCATGGTGGCACGTGCCTGTAATCCCAGCTACTCAGGAGGCTGAGGCAGGAGAATTGCCTGAACCCAGGAGGCGGAGGTTGCGGTGAGCCGAGATCGCGCCATTGCACTCCAGCCTGGGTAACAAGAGTGAAACTCCGTCTCAAAAATAAATAAATAGCCGGGCGCGGTGGCTCAAGCCTGTAATCCCAGCACTTTGGGAGGCCGAGGCGGGTGGATCACAAGGTCGAGAGATCGAGACCAACCTGGTCAACATGATGAAACCCCGTCTCTACTCAAAATACAAAAAATTAGCTGGGCATGGTGGCGCGTGCCTGTAATCCCAGCTACTCAGGAGGCTGAGGCAGGAGAATTGCCTGAACCCAGGAGGCGGAGGTTGCGGTGAGCCGAGATCGCGCCATTGCACTCCAGCCTGGGTGACAAGAGCAAAACTCCGTCTCAAAAAAAAAAAAATAAATAAAAATAAATAAATAAATAAATAAATAAATAAATAAATAAATAAATAACTGAGCATGGTGGTTTGTGCCTATAGTCCCAGCTACTCAGGTGGCTGAGGTGGGAGGATTGCTTGAGCCTGGGAGATGGAGGCTGCAGTGAACTGTGATCACGTCACTCCAGCCTGGGTGACAGAGTGAGACCCTGCCTCAAAAAAAAAAAAAAAAAAAAAAAAAGAATGAGAAGGCAAGCCTCAAAATACTGGGGAAAAAATATTTGCGAGATATATGTCTGGCAAAAAAAATTTTTAAATTTAAAAAACCCTAGCATTCAGAATATCTTTTACCAATTAGTAAGGGAAGGAATGGTAACCCAGCAGAAAAACAGACAAATGATGAGCTCAGGCACTACATGGAATGGCCAATAGATGGGTGAAATGTATGTGACAGATTGTATTTTCCACAGATAGTGGCAACAATCTTCCATCCCACATGTTCCTCTTACAGTGTCATTTTGACCGTCCTTACAATTAGAGGTAGAGCCTCTGCTTCCTTCCCTTGAAACTGGTGGACTTTTGTGGCTATTTAGAAATAGTCAATAGAGTATAGCAGGAGTGACATTATGTGACTTCTGAGGTTAGATCACAAAAGATGACAAAGCTTAGGCTTTATTTTCTGGAATACTCTCTCTTTAAGCCTTCAGCCACCATGTAAGCAGTGAGACTGTTCTGAGGCCACTGTACTGTAAGGAAGCCCAGAGGGACCACAAGGTTACGCCCTGGCTACATGAAGAGGGAGAGAGAGCTACCTGCAGCTGCTCCAGCCCCCATCTGGCTGCATCTGTATGAGAGACCCTAAGCCAGTTCTGCCCAGCCAACCTCCTAAAATCCAGACTCCTGAAACTGTGAGATAGTAAATGGACTGTTCATTGTTTAAGCTTCTAAATTGGAGGTTGATTTCTTACACAGTAAAGAATGGCAGGAATAGCATGCATAACTTCATTAGTCATCAAGGAAATGCAAATTAAAACCAAAATGAGATTATCACTACACACCCACCAGAATGACTAAAATGAAAAAAAAAAAAGAGTATCAAGTATGGGTGAGGAGGAGGAGCAATAGGGACATTCATACACTGCTGGTAGAAACCTATGTCAATAAACCACTTTGGAAACCTGTTTGACACAATCTACTACAGCTGAACATAAGCATACCTTCTGACCCAATCATTTCGCTCCCCACGGCAAGGTACATAATTATAGATATGAGAATACTCACAGCAGCATTATGAATAATGGACCCCCAAATTCAAACAACTCCAATGGTCATGAATGGTAGAATGAAAAACGTGCATCATATTCATGAAATTAAATACTATGCAGTAATGAAAACAAATGAACTATTGCTACATGCAAATACTTGAATGAATCTTGCAAACATAATGTTGCAAGATTATGAAATAAACCAGACATGGGCTGGGTGCAGTGGCTCACACCTGTAATCGTAGCACTTTGGGAGGATGAGGTGGGCAGATTGCTTGAGTATAAGAGTTCAAGACCAGCCTGAGCAATGTGGCAAAACCCTGTCTCTACAAAAGATACAAAAAAAAAAAAAAAAAAAATCAACTGGGCATGGTGGTTTGCACCTATAGTCCCAGCTACTCGGGAGGTTGGGGTGGGAGAATTGCTTGAGCCCAAGAGGTTGAGGCTGCAGTGAACCAAGACTGTGCCATTGCACTCCAGCCTGAAAGACAGAGTGAGACCCTCCCTGTCTCAAATAATAATAATAATAACAGCCAGGCACAGTGGTTCACTCCTGTAATCCCAGCAGCAGCCTGGCCAACGTGTAGTGAAACCCCATCTCTACTAAAAATACAAAAATTAGCTGGGCATGGTGGCACACATCTGTAATCGCAGCTACTTGGGAAACTGAGGCAGGAAAATCGCTTGAACCCGCGAGGCGGAGGTTGCAGTGAGCCGAGATCACGCCATTGCACTCCAGCCTGGGCAATAGAGCGAGACTCCATCTTAAAAAAAAATACAGGCCGGGCGCGGTGGCTCAAGCCTGTAATCCCAGCACTTTGGGAGGCCGAGGCGGGTGGATCACGAGGTCAAGAGATCGAGACCATCCTGGTCAACATGGTGAAACCCCGTCTCTACTAAAAATACAAAAATTAGGCCGGGCGCGGTGGCTCAAGCCTGTAATCCCAGCACTTTGGGAGGCCGAGGTGGGTGGATCACAAGGTCGAGAGATCGAGACCAACCTGGTCAACATGGTGAAACCCCGTCTCTACTAAAAATACAAAA